TTGGGCACTTTATCTCTAAAAGCTTACCATCAGTAGGCTCAAAGAATATATTCTGTGTGTGTGTGTGTGTGTGTGTGTGTGTGTGTGTGTGTGTGTGTGTTTGTGACTGGGGATGGAATCCAGGGTTTCACACTGAGTTACACTTAGCCATTCTTAAACTTGTTCTTATTTTGAGACAGGATCTCACTAGGTTGCTAGGTTGTGTGGACTGTGCTCAAATTCTCTTTCATCCTGCTCAGCCTAGCAACATAGGTGTGTGCTAACACACATGGCAACTTGACCTCCTTTTCAGTGGTGTTAATCTGTTCAACAACAACACCTTTGTAACCTCAGCTTTGCACAGTTGGCCTGCAAATTCTTCAAGTCCTTTGCCTCTGCTTTTCACTTACTGCTTTTCATTATAGATGTGATTAAAAACACCAGCAGTATCCATACCATAGGCTGAAGTCTGGGCTGCCTTGAAATTTTCCCTTCCAGAATTGTTAGCCCACCACATTTAAATTCACCCTCATACCAAGTCTTAGGGCAGAGGCAAAATGTAAACCAGTTCTTTGCCAGAATGTGACACAAACAGCTCTAACGTAATTCCCAATAGAGTACTTATTTGTGTTTGAAACTTCACGAGACTGCCCCTTGCTATCCAGGTTCCTGTCGGCATTCTCATCTTCTGAGCTCTGACCATAATGGCTGATCAGACTCTATTTACAGCATTCTAGGCTTTCCCCAGCTTTAATCTCCAAACTTCTCCGATAAACAGTTCCAAATGTTTCTGAACCACATGATCAGGTTTAGTAACACTGCAATGCAATTTCCATTTTACATATTAGACACTTTCTGTCATGGAACAATATATATGACATACTCAATTTAAGGAGAAGAGATTTACTTAGGCTTATGGTTTTAGAGAGTTTAGTTCATCATTGGCTGGCTCTGCAGCAGAAAGGGCCAGACAGGAGTGCCTAGCAGAGGAAAGCAGCTCAACCCACAGCAGCCCAGAAGCAAAAAGAGAGAAAGGAGGAGCCAGGAACAAGAACATAGCCTTTCGGGTAATGGTCCCCGTGATCCACCTCTTCCAAATGGACCTCATCTGCAAAGGCCCATTCAGCTGTGAACTCATTGATGGATCAGTGCACTTACCTTGTTATCTCTCTTATTCTGACCCGTCTGTTTCCTGGTTACCTGCTGTACTATATCATTTTCGTGGCAAATATTCCTTAGAAGCTTCTTGAAAAATGGTGTATACAAAATAAAAACATGAAGAATCGGGACATCTTAAAATACATTTTTCAGCCGGGGATTTAGCTCATCAGTTCAGTGGCCTGCCTTGCAAGCCCAAGGACCCAAGTTCAATCCCTGGTACCAAAAAATATATATGTATTTTTTTTCAAATCTAGGAATTTATTACTTCTAACTATATATTTTACTTTCATTTTAGTTACTAAGTTTAAAGACTTGACTTTTTTCCTCGTGTTCTCAGCAGGTAGGCTGAGGTTCTGTTTTGTTTTGTTTTGTTTTGTTTTGCTTTCTTAAATACTCTCTAACACTACTGGTTGGGAATGTCAGCGTAGCTCCTGAGAATTCTCCCTAAGTCCTTAGGAACCATCATTTATTTGCCAGGGCCTCCACCTTGCACCAAAACATCATTCTTCTTTGAACTTCCCACAGTAGGTAGGATTGGCACCAAGAAGCTTATCCACTGATAGCCATTCATTTTTCTGAATTTGATCTGAAGTTAAAGAATAAGTGCTTTGAGGCTTCTTTGTTGTTTCGATTTTGGTGTTGTTTGTTCGTTATTTAATGTACTCCAGAGGCTAACAAAATACTGTTACAAAATGTTGTGTGGCCTATGAACAAGATGGCAGCTGTGGTCAGTCCTGTCTGGTGAGGGCTTGTGTGTCACAGACAGCACTCTTGGGGAATGGCCCCAGTGCCCTTAGGAAAGAGGCACAGATGGCTGCGTGATCCCTTCTCCCTGTGTCCTCACGTCGTAGAAGGCATAAGTCAGCGCCCTGAGCTCTCCATTCTAGGGACGCTCATCCCAATCATGAACACCTCACCTTCCTAACCTGCATCTCTCCAGAGGCTCCACCTCTTGTGCCAAATCCTTGGGGTTAGGATTTCAGCCAGGACTTCTGCTGGGTCCTGGACATTCAGACCATAGTAGACACACTCTTATCTCTTTGCAACTCGTGAGTAGTATTCTTCAAAAAATTGTTTGTGCAATAGTGTATTTTAAGGGAATTTATCTCTTTAGTAGTAGACCTGATAGGGCCAAGTGAAAAACATTTGGAAGTATTTTGGGCAATGTCCTTATTTTACAGTTGGCATTTGGCCTTGTTCCATCAAAACACAAAATTCACTTCTGTTGAGTTTACTTGTTTCAATTTAGGGAATCTGATAGTTTTTAAGTATGCAATTCAGTCTAAATAACTATAGTTTCCACCGTACAGATTATACATCAGAAATTATTCATCTTATACCTGAAAGCTTCTATCCTTTGACCAACCACTCCTCAATCCCTCCCAAGACCAGTGCCTAGTAACCACTGTTCTACTTATTATTTCTGTGTGTTCAGATTTTTTTTTTTTTAGGTTTCCCATATACCTCGTATATGATGGAATAATTATATTGCTGTTTTGGGTCATTTCACTCAGAATAGTGTTCTCCAAGTCTTCCACATTGTTATGGATGTCAGGATTGCCTTGGTCTTTTTTAAGACCAAGTAATGTTCCACCAGGACTCTGATAAAATCACTCATACAGTCATCATTTGTCAGTGAGAAACTAACACATTGAGAGTTTCAGTGACCTGTCCAGAGTTGTCCAATTGAATTGAAGCTGGGATTCCATCTTATGCCAACAGATTTCACCGAGTCATCTTACAGTTGTGAACAATATGTATAGGTTTATAAACAAATAATAGGAACCACTTCTACCACAGTGTGCAATTATCTTTTTTTTTTCCTCGTTGAGTTTATTGGTACATTTTAGGTATACAGTACAGTTACATTCATTATTGGGATCTTGTGCCTTTAATGACAAGTCTTGGTTCTTATTTTTTCCCCTTGTCCCTGCCCTCCCTTCACCCCCTCTTCCCCTCCACATCTACAAACATTTTATTTCCATTTTTTTCATTTTCTCATATTTTTTCCCTTATTACCTTTCCCCCACCCTTCCCACTTTCCCTACACCTTTAGCCCTTTTCTTCCTATTTCACACTGTCAATTATCTCATTAGGATCTTATGTACTATTATAGTTTTTCACACCAGAGAAACTATCCGGTATTAACACATGTGTGACTTATTTATTTCACTTAGGAGTATATCCTCAATATGTATCCATTCTCCTATGAATTACTCTAATTTCTCATTCTTTATGGCTGAGTAGTATTCCATTTAGTGTGCAGTTACCTTTGCAGTGAAAGACAAGGAGATCCAGTCCTTTCCTTAAAATCCCATTTTCATTTACTTCTGCTTTGACTTCTTGGCTTATACTTATTTTAAGGAAATATTATTCTAAGGTAGGAACATGTAAGATAGGACATGAGGCATGATAGCATGAAATAGCCCACATTGGACACTTAACAGAAAAAGCTACAGAGAAAAGAATGCTGTTCCACTCTGTTTTGCATACAGTATACAGAGCTCAAAGGTCACTGTGTTACTTGGTTCCCATTTTGTTAATGTTCACTTAATGAAGGCAGCCCAAGGAATTGTGGCCTTCCCAGGAGAGAGAGAGAGAGAGGGAGGGAGGGAGGGAGGGACAGAGAGTCCGGCTTTCTTGCTGAATTCATACAAAATGGAGCTCATGACGTTCCTTAGGTTCATCTGTGGAAGCAAGTATATTTCAGCATAATTTCTGATGGGAATTCCACAGAGGGAGAGACATCTTGTCCCCTGTTATGTGTCCGTACTTGGAGGTGATGAAGGACCTGTCTAGTATTTGGCTGCCTCCCGCTGCCGCGCTGGGCATTCCAGGTCTACAGACACAGGAGTCTGAATTAGTAGAATCTCAGAGAACCAAATCACTTGTTCCGTGAGCATCCATTGTCAAACAGTCAGCAATCTACTGCCACAAAAGGTTCTTTATTTTTCTAATAGATGCGAAGGATCGAGCAAGGCCAGTTCCTTATGGAAACTTAACATCTGTATAAATAGTTGCAAAAAACAAAGAAAGTTTTATGTAAACATATCACAGCTGTCTTTCCTTCTAACTTTTGCGCGGCCTGCTGTGTTTGATGCTTTCGTGTGAATTGGCTAGCATGTCCCCTCATCTTTCATCCCTCTGATCCTTACACTTATGAATGAGGTTGACTGATGTTTTCTTTCATAGACAGACCTGTGCTTCTCTGTCACATAGCCAGTTAAACAGCCGTGACAAGAAATGAGGAATTCTCCAAGGGCAACTAGCTAGGAGACTACCTCAGATACTGGAGGAAGGTCAGAGGAAGGGCGACCCATCTCTTCAAAGCACTTTCAGACAGATGAAGAATGATACTCTACAAAAGAATTGCATGAAATTTGTTACAACCCTATTGCATTAGTTTGAGAATATCTGTCATATATATGTTTCTGTCTTCCCAATCTTCTAACATGATTCCTGGAAACAAAGGTTTTTATTTTCCATTTTCTTTGTATCTATGGGTTTCCTTTCTCCTGGCAGAGCATTATAATAACTATTAGCATATGCTATTTTATTTTTATTTGTTTAAATTACTAAAAAGCCAAGAACTATCTCATACTTGTCTTCAATTTTATATTTAGTTTGCAACTATTACTATCACCAAATATCATTTAACATGCAACTTTTATTAGAAAAAATATAAGTACGTACGAATTTATTATGTGACATTACTATATTATCATTCCCACTTAAATATTTATTTTCATTGATAGGCTATATACTGATTCATAGTTTTAATTACTTACAAATAATGTTATAACTATACTTTCAAAGATATTTGTGGAAACATTTTCACATACTTGTTTTTCACCTTTTAGGTGTACAAGAATTTCCAGAAAACATAAAGTGCTGTAAGTGTTTAACAATTATTGAAGCCAGTGTCAATCCCATTTCTAAGTGAGTATAAATGATTAAATTTTATCTGTATTTATGTTTGCATTGGATAATGATGTATGAAGGTAGATGAAATTTACAGACAAATTCAATTTTAAATGCAGCATCGCTGTAACATTTAATAAAATAATGGGAAAGATATAAGCAGATCAGCAGAGTTCCACAAGAGATGGTTCAAAGCATTGCTGAGTGGGACTGAGGGCCCAGCTGGTACTAGTTTTCTGTGGTTCTCAGGCAGCATTGCCTTTCTGAGATTCAGAACTCGGAAAATATTTACTCTTTATGTTCATGATGAGAAATTAGCATCAAAGACCTCATGGAAATTCAAGACAGCCCAAGATTTTAAGGTACTGCCCAATGCATATAGTTCAGTGAAACTGAGCATGACTGGACATAGCAAATCCTTGGGTACTAGACACTGCAAGAGGAGTGCAGAGATGATCCTGTGAGTATTGCAGAGTGGAAGACATGAAAGGTAAAGATACTGTCATCAGAAAAAGGAGCATTCGTGATTCAAGGTGTGTTAGTTAACGCATTCCACGGGAAAGGAAGGCCGAGCCTGTGAGCGTGTTGTGAGTAGAGGGTCTGATGTCATGGCAGAGAGCTTTGGAACTACAGGTGAGCCATGACCTTGAATGTAAACGTCAAGTGGGTGTGGAAACTAGCTAGAAAGTGCTGAGACTTGTTGTAAGATCTGGAAGAAGTTCAAACAATTCAGTGGTATTGGGATGTAGATAATGAATCTTTAGTCTAAGTTGGTATTTTAAACTCATGAAGCTAAACAGCCATAAGCTTTGAACAAAATTCCTCCGTCCTTTGTCTGCGTGAAGTTGGCTAGACTAGGAGAAATCCAACCAGAAAAGCGTTCGGTGAATGAAGTGTTCACAGAAGAAGAAATACAAGTCTGTCAAAGTAAAGATGAAGATAAATTTACACAAGTGTAATTGAGGAAAGGGATCCATTGCTTACTGTGGTTTCTAGCAAGAGTCTGCATGAAAACAGGCATGGAACAGGAGGTAGACGAACGAGATAGAAGTTTTGAAGGAGGTTTTGCAGTGAGTGGTTTGTGTAATCATTTGAGACCTTTTATAAAAAAGTATGAAACATCAATCAATAAAATGTGTTGGGAAGTTACAACTTTTATACCTAAAAAGTAGAACGTGGAGGGAGAAAAAAAACAAAGCCCTGAAAACTTTTCCCAGAGCTCTTGGACCAAATGCAACTTTCTCAAAATTTCAACAAAATGGATATTACGACTCTCAAACAAGGGGTATAAATATGTATTTGATTTGAGTTGCACAAGCTAGGATGGATGATGAATTCAGTTTTTCATCCTACTTTAATTCTAATAGATCATCCTAGTTAGGAATCACTGTAGGACTTTGGAGTGGAAGGCAGATGATGAATTATATCTTTTTAAGAAGTTTAAAATCTGTAGTTTTATTTTATGGCTCTGAATTTCTTTCATATGCTCAACTTTTAAGAAGATGAAAAATATTACCTATTTCATCAAAACATTCTCAGCCCTTTAAACATTAAACTTTTCCATGGAATTTATAAAAATTACTCAACAGATTTGTAAATTTAAGTAGCATATTAATTTTAAAGATTTTCACAGATATGCAAGTTAAATTCACTCATTTTAGATGTTTGATTTAATGAAATATATGGCATAGTATTACCATAATCAAGATAGATTAAAAATCTCAAAAAGTATCCTCAGCCCAGGCACCCACTTAATGTGATAACTATCCTCAGACTTCTACCTTTTCCTAAACATGATATAAATGATAAAACTCTAGTGTTTTTACTTTTTGATTTCTTTTACTTTTTGAAACGTAACCGAAGTTGCTGGATACCATTATTAGTAGTTGAATTGCTGGATGGAATTACGTTGTATGGAGGCAGCATGATTTGTGTGTATTAGTTGGTATACACCTAGATTATTTTCCAGTGATGGGCTGTTATGCTTTCTGCTAGTATGGATTATGTGCAGGTTTTTGCATGAGCATGTTTTTATTTCTCTTGCTGAAACACTTGAGTGGTTTTTCTGGGTAGTATGGTACCAGCATGTTTAACCTTATAAGAAACTTCCAAAACTGCTTTCCAAAGCATCTACCAAATTTTGCGTTTCTATTGGGTATAGATTAGTTTCAGTTGCCTCTCCTTTTTGTCATCATTTGGTACTATCAGATTTGTTAGTTTTCTAATTTAAGCCAGTTTAGTATAGGTGCCAGCTCATTGTGGTTTTACTTTACATTTTTAATACCTAAGCAACATCTTTTCATATACTTACTTATAAAATGTATATTTCTTTGGCAGTGATTCAAATTTTTGGCTTATTTTTGTAAACTTGACTTTTTATAAGAATTTTACATGTTAGATACAAGATCTTTGTCAAATATTTGTTACAATTCTATGTCCTATCTCTTCATATTCTGAATAGTGCCCTCAAAGACTTCTAATTTGAAGAAGCCCTAGTTAATAATATGATAACCTGTTCCTAAAAGATCTTTGATAAATCCTGTAAAACTTTAGGTTTTACATTTTAATTTATGATCCATTTAAAGTTAATTTTTGTATATGTGCAAAGTTTAAGGGTCAGAGTTCATTTCTTTTCCACATGTAAATCCTATTATTGCTATACCATAATGCTTGAAAGATTACCCTTTCCTCACAGAAGTACCTGCTAACTTTGTTGAAAATCAGTGGATCAAATAAGTTAAGGTCCATTTTGGGGTTTCCTGTTGTGTTTGGTTAATCTATGTGCCCGTCTTTACATCAGTTTCCTACTGTTCAGTCACTATAGCTTTGCCATAAATCATAACATCAGGAAATCTGGGCCCTTCCTTTAAATTTGTTCTTATCATAATTGTGTGTGCTGTTCTATGCCCTTTGTCTGCCTGTATAATTTTTACCATCAGCTCATCAATTTGTACGGATATAAAAGCCTGCTGGAATTTTGATAGGTTTTGTCTTGAATCTGTAGATGAATTTGTTTAGAATTTATATCTAAAAACTGTTGAGCATTCTTATCTCTGAGCATAGTATATATCTATACTTTCATCAAGTCTACATTTTTCGTCACTGTTTTGTAGGTTCAGCATGTACGTATGACACATTTTGTTCAGTCTATTCTTGTTTTCTTGTTTTTTGTGATACTGCAAATGATTTATTATAACTGCTTATTGCTAGTGTATACAAATGTCCTTGATTTTTTTTTCTATAACTTTTCTAAACTGACATCAATTCTGGTAGTTTTTTTTAGCAGATTTAGAAGAGATTTTCTATGTAGACAGTCAGACCACCTGTGAATTAAGAGTCTTCTTTCATTATTTTTTACGTGTGCACTATTTTTCTTGGGTTGTCTAGGACCTCCTATAGAAATTAAGTATAAGAAGTGAAAACAAACATTCTCTTGTCATTTTCAATCTTAAGGAAGTAGACTTTCGCCATTATGTGTTATTGTTTGTTTTTTCATATATGCTCTTTATCATACTGAGAAAAGATCCAGTAACCAGCCACTCCCTTCCTTTTAGGCCCTCTCCAGCAAAGTATTTGAAGTTTAGATTTCTGGTCACCATCTTTTCAAGGAAATTCAGGGTTTATCTGTCATGTTTTTTTCCATTGACTTTCACCATTCTTGTGACCACTACTTGATTCTAATGCCAGTCCACTTTTATAAGAATTTGTTACAAATACCAAAATCTGTATTAGTTTTCTAATGCTATGGAGTAAATTGCCACAAAATTAACAGATTAATACAAGATATATTTATGTTTTAAACTAAAACATTAATGTGATCTTTATTATATGGCACACCTGGTATTTGTGCATCCTAACAATTGTATAGAAAAATTTGTAAAGCCAAACCCAGCCATTTGAAATTACACTAAGTAAGGACCACTTACAGTTGCTTCTCTTAAAAATATACAAAATTAACCTGGTCCTGCTGTAGTGTTATAATTGAGGGAGCCAGGTAGCCCAAAGTTTTTCTTTTGTTATTGCACTTTTCTTCTACACACTTGTTGTGTTACATTTGTAACACTGTCAATAAACATTAGTAGTTTAGAACAAGCTCAGCTTCTGTGGTTCAGCAATCTGGACATGGTTTATATGGGTTCCTTTTTTCCGAGTTTCACCAGGCTGTAACAAGACTTGAGTGCGGCTATGATCTCGTCAGGAGACTCGACGAGGGAAGAATTTCCCCCAGAGCTCACAGAGGCAGTTGTCAGAGTTCATTTCTTTATGATAAAGCCAAGAGCCCTCGCTTTCTGTGTGCTTCCTCCTTCCGCCTGCAGGCTGCTCTTGGGGCTAAAGGCTGTGTGTGGTTCCCTGCCGTGTAATCCTTTCCATGTGCGGGTCGCAGCACAATAGGTTCTCCTCACGGACAGCGCCTGAGAGACCATGCCTTAGTAAGCTGCGTCGTGGAATGTAACATAGTTAGGGAGGTGGCAGCTGTCATATTTACCACAATCTAGGGCTTAGGAGCAATCGTAGGTCCTCCCAGCATTCAAAGGGAGATTATACCCAGCCAGGAGCTTCCAGTCTGGACATAGCACCGCCTCAGAATGTGCTTGTCACACCTCTGATGTCTCGTTCGTTGAGAGTGTTTATTCTCAATGCATTTTGAATTTTGTCAAAACTAGTGCTTTTAACACCTTTGATCTAATGATACAGTTTTCCTTCTTTAATCTGATCATGTAATGACTTACATTGATTGACTATTTTATGTTGATCCAATTTTGCATCCCAGGGATATTTTATTTGATTATGAAGCCTTTTTATATATTGATTGTCCCGATCTTCTAATATTTGTTAATGATCTCCCTATCTATATTCATGAAGCTCTTTATCTGAAATTGATCTTGTAATTTGCTTGTCTGACTTTGATAAAAGGATAAAACTGACTTCATAAAATGAGTTGGGAGATATTATCTTCTATTTTCTAAAATAATTTGTACAGATTTGGCATTATTTCTTAAATATTGGTAAACTTTATC